TTTTATCTATTTAGTTCTAAGTCTGCTTCATCCGATTTCACTTGCAAACATCTACTTTTATCCGCGATGATCTGCTTTTATCTGTGAACGTCTGCTCTAATCCACAAACATCTGTTTTAATCCGCAAACATCTGCCTTTATCCGCAAACATCTGCATTTATCCGCGAACATCTGCTTTAATCCGCAAACATCTGCTTTAATCCGCAAACATATGCTTTTATCCGCAAACATCTGCTTTTATCTGTAAACGTCTGCTTTAATTCGCAAACGTCTGTTTTAATCTGCAAACATCTGCTTTTATCCGCAACATCTGCTATTATCCGCAACATCTGCTTTTATCCGCAACATCTGCTTTTATCTGCAACATCTGCTTTTATCCGCAACATCTGCTTTTATCCACAAACATCATATTCTGCTTTTATCCGCAAACATCTGATTCTATCCGCAAACATCTGCTTTCGTCTGATTTTACCTGCAAACATCTGCTTTTAATTGCAAACCTCTGCTTTCACCCGCGTTAGGTTTTATCCGTAATTGCCTGCATTTCCTTTGTCCATTTCGGTCCTGTTTCGTACGCAAACGTCTGGTTTCATTTTTGTTTTCCTTACGTCTTCTTGGGTATTCTTTAGTTTAATTTACCTGCTGTGTCAAATTTTACTGAGCTTTAACTTACTGGTTGTTAGCCGTTATATGTTTAATTTCAAATACATTTGGAATTATAACATCTTTAATTTGTATGGAATTTGTTTAAAACACTTGATGAACCCGGATAAATGCAGATAGTTATAAACGAAAGCAGTAGAGCCGGTCAAAAGCCGATGATTGCGGGGCTGCACTGCACCGGTTAAAATCAAGCGTTCGCAGATAAAAGCATATGTTTGCGGGTGAAACCGTATGAAAGCAGACGTTCGCGGGTAAAAGCATATTACTTTACTTTCTTTCTGTGCTTTCTTTGATAGTGCCTAGTGATAACAGCAGATGTTTGCGGGGGTGCACTAATCGGATGAAATCAGGCGTTCGCAGATAAAACATATGTTTGCGGGTGAAACCGTATGAAAGCAGACGTTCGCGGATGAAAGCAGATGTTCGCGGGTGATTGCAGATGCTCGCGGATGAAAGCAGATGTTTGGGGGTGATTGCAAATGTTCGCGGATAAAAGCAGATGTTTGCTGATAAAAGCAGATGTTGGCGGGTGAAATTAGACTAGGCAGATGTTTGCGGGTAAAAGCATATGCTCTCGGATAAAACTAGACGTTTGCAGATAAAACCCGACAAAAATAGACCAAAAAAAATGCAGGTAATCGCGGATAAAACCAGACTTAAGCAGACGTTTGCAGATGATCACGGACAAATTCAGATATAAACGAAACACAGTGAAGACGGTTAAAAACAGATGATGGCAGATGATTGCAGGGTTGCACTAACCGGACATAAAACACAACCAACCGGGTGTTCGCGAATATAGCAATGCGGACAAAAGCAGATGTTATCAGATGATATTTTTACCCGCTTTTATCTGCTTTTATCCAGCTTCGACGAAGAATTTATACCCGCAATCATCTGCTTTTATCCGGTTTCAACGAGGAATTTATATCCGCAATCATCCGTCATTTTCAGCAGGGTAGTGAAATTGATAAGTGTTTGCCTCAGAATAAGAGACCTGATGACTACGACAAAATGGTAGCAATTAGCAATTAACCTTAAGTGTCTTTAAAGATAAGCCATACTCTTCAAAATGCATGTTTTACATCCAAAAATCCCACCTTGATTAAATACAAATAATTATAATTAAGATATTTTTCCACAAAAAATACATATATTGTATTATTTTCAGGAAATGACAGCTAGATAACCTTAATCGGAAGGGAAAAAGTGCTAGGAAATATTTATTAAACGTGTAAAAAAGTGTATTATTCATCATGAAGAATATTTTGAAAAACAATTAATCCGTTTTTGCAAAAAAATGTGATTTGTTCTTTATTATTGAAATATAAACAAGCAACCTACACGGTCACCGGATAACCACCGGATAACCACGAATTCTTAAAGAAATTCTATAATTACCAATTTTAAAAAATTCTAAAATTAAACCAGATATATAATTTTGGTAAGCCAAATAGAGCGCGCCAATTCTATCGAAAGCGCTTTCGACGCTTATATAAAAATTATATGCCACGCTACCCTAACTCTTTTAAAGTTTACTGTCTTATTTTTCTGTGCTGTAAAGTAGAACATAGTTTTTGGCTGTAAAGGTAACAAACCTTAGACAATGAATAATATGTCCACAATCCACACAACAGACCTTCGATCTCGTACTAAAAATTCTAAAAATCATTTCAACAATGCACAGAGTATAACAATTTTTCTGCTTTGGGTTTGTGCTGTTTATAAATACAGATTAATATTCGTTTTAAACGTTGTGTTTCTTAAAGAGGCACTTGTAAGCCTTACAAAAGGCCTTAAAGTGCCAAGGGCAACCATTTTACTCCCCTTTTGTAAAAAATAAACCTTATTTTACCAGGGCTGTTAAACTGTCAAATGTCAAAGTCGACATAGTTTTTAGGGTATGCTTTCGTCAGCACGACTTGTAGATAAAAATGGTTCGCTCTGGAGCCTTTGGGCATGCAAAAGGACCATTGGACGCAACTGAGGCTTACAACCCCACATAGTGCACTGGCTTTACACAACAGTTATATGGCCAATGATCACATACGGCAGCCTTGTATGGTGGAATGCGTTAAACAAGCCCACCTACAGGAAAAAGCTGGACAAGCTCCAACGACTTGCCTGCATGGGCATAATCGGAGCTTTTAGAACCACTCCAACATTGGCAATGGAGGCCATACTGGGACTGGGCCTCTACATCTCTTTGTAGAGGCACGGGCTCGGGAGGCCTCGGTCAATGATTGGGGACAGTGGGCTTACGGGGGGAAAACTCAGGGCATGCAAGGGCCTGGACTGTGACTATCAACCGGGATGCAATGCCAAAGATACAAAGTGGTTTTCCCTTCTAGAAACGACTGGAGCGAGCCTGACCCAGGCTTCCTCAAACCGGAAGGGCTCATCTGGTACACAGTCGGATCTCTAATAAAGGAAGGTGCAGGAGCTGGTATACCAGACTGAAATCTTTGCCATCCTGATATGCGCCTAAGAGAATCTCCAGAGAGGCTACTCGGGTAAACATATCTACATATGTAGCGACAGCCAAGAAGCACTCCGGGTTCTTCACTCAGAAAGGGTCAACTCGAGGCTTACACTAGACTGCATAAAAACCCTTGAATCACTCAGTGTGCTCAACAAGGTTACCTTATCTGGGTACCGGGTCATTGAGGCATCAAAGGCAACGAGGAAGCAGACCAGATGGCTCGTGAGGGCAGTAACACGGCCTTTTTGGGGCCATAACCTGTTATAGGGGTCGCCTCCTGTCTGGTAAAAACCAGAATCAGGAACTGGAAAAACAACCAGTTCCAGAACAAATGGTGTGAACAACATGGCCTCAGGCAGTCAAGGGTCTTTATAAAGGGTCCTACTAACTGCAAATAGGCAAAAAGATTCCTGAAACTTAACAGAAACCAGTTAAGAGCCATCACAGGAGTTCTAACAGGACACTGGGTAGTCAAATACCACCTACACAAAACCGGACTCAGCAACGAGGCGGATTGTAGGTACTGCAGGGAAGTAGACGAAACTACCGAGCATATAGTCTGCGAAGACACCTAGGGGACAGATATTTGGAACCAGAGGAAATAATGCATGCCCGACCAGAGCGGGTAAGGCAGGGCTTCACCTAAAGGGGGTTTGCACGATGGGCCATATGTGTGCCTAGGTGCTGCCTGCAAAGGCTCCCCTTCAATTCAAATCAAATCCTGTGAATTCTTTTTGTATAGCCCACAGATCATAAAGATATATCCCCAACTTAATAATAGTATGAACTAAAAAATACTTAAATCAATTTGTTTCTTCTTGCGCACGTAGTCAAACAACAGTTTGCCATAATTTATTATTTTCAAATTTTAAACTACCTTTAAAATAACATAAGTAAAAGTTTTTTTAAACTAATGACGCATGATGACTTCCCAGGAAAGACCATTTTATATTAGAAAATACGCATGTTTGTAATAGTTCAATATTTTACAGTTAAGAGCAATTCAGACACGACCAACTTAATTTCTGCTTTATTTCTGACCATATTGTAGTAATAAAACTAAATAATCTTTACTCTCTAAACATGAATTAGTCAAAAATGACTAATTACTACAGTAGCCAGTTCTTATATAAAATTGTCCTCATAATCCGAAAATATCGTTAAAAGTTATAAAAGTAAAACAGTCAAAAACTGCTTTACTTTTATAATTTTTAACAGTATTTTCAGATATAGTCAATTTTCCATATAATATGGAATTGACTTTATCTCAAAAACTGTTCTACTTTTATAATTTTTGTCAGTATTTTCAGATTCAGGGGACAATTGTACATAAGAATTGGCTATTATATCGGGGATACCATGCTATCTCATGGTATACCATGGTATAAGTGTAGAAGCAGCCACTAATAACTGTAGTAATTAGTCATTTTTGTCTAATTCATTTTCAGAGAATAAGACTTACTCAGTAAGTAGCTAACATTATTTTTTCTTTATCAAGTTTTAAAACAGATTTAGATTGGCCCACAAAACACGTTTCTTTAAAACGTTACAACAAACTAATAATAGAACTATTTTAAGGGCTCTTAAAAATAACGTTATTTTATTTTTAACTTAAAAGTCTTTTAAATAAGGAAATAATAAGTAAGTAGAACTATCCAGTCAGTCAAGTGGTTTAATAACTTATCCTTTTATTCTAACAAAAACAAAAATTTATGTATTTTTTGTTAAATTTTATTGTAAGATAACTACCTAGTGTAGTAAAAAAATACTGTTGCATACATGTAATGTGTTTTTGCTTCGTTTTCAGGATACCTATAGAAACATCCTACACATAATATATTATAAAGTATGCCATCGCATATAATACGAATACAAAAAATAAAATTAAAGGGGCAAGTGTTTAGAGGAGTTAAGTAACAAGTAAATTTGGTGTTTCAATAACAATAAATTTGTTTAAAAGTGTCATGTTACATTTTAGTTAAAAAAGAAGAAACATTATTGAGATTGTAAATAAAAATAAGTTTGGTATTGCAACTCCAATATTTTTTGTCCTTTATTATTAAAAATTTTACTTATCCCCTTTATTCACTTGTCCCTTAATCTTCAAATAAGTACTTTACGAAGATTTTACACCACGCGACGCGTCGCGACGGTAGGGAGTTTTAGAATTTTTGAGGGCGAACAAAATGTTGTTTTTTGATAGCTATCGGAAGTTGAGAATTTTATAAACTTCAAAGAATCATGTTTTTTTTAATCTCATTGGGGACTATGGTCACTGGCAACAATTTTCTGTATAATTTTTACAAATTGATTATTTGAATTTAATAAAAACTGTTCTGAAGATAATATTTTTAACTATTATAAATATAACCCATATATTTCTGAAGATCATTTAAAATTTAGCGATACCTATAGTACATTTAAACATTTATTTGAAAAGCCTCTCTTGTAAGCTTTGACAGTCCTTTGGATTTAATTCCCTTTTCGTAAGCACGTTCATTTAATTCTCGGGGGTTTAGATCTGAAAATCTGCTTGGTGGATGAATTCGTTCATTAAAACTGGGTGCATGGGAAATACTAAAAGTTGTTTCATCGTTGTGACTTGAATATCCGCTACTACTTCTAACATGCTTTTTATTCAATGGAGTAGCTTTTCCTTTTCTAGATTGGTACGGTTTTCGAACCACACTATCTGATGGTGGTGATGTTTCTGATGATGAAGAGGAACCCTCTGCTCCACCTGTTAAAAATGTGAATTAATAAAATATACCTATATTTTCAAAAAATATATTTTTTTAATTATCTCAGCGATAGCATGGTAGGCTATTGACTCAACAGAAAAAAAAATGACAAGAGACAATAGCCCCATCTTGTCGCGTCTGTATCTTTTGGTCGCCTTAATAGCTTATGTCCAACACATACATCTATTGTATGATCTAGTGTAAGTAATAATATTATTGCTTCTTATGAATTAATATACCGGAACATATAGCGTAAATACCTTTACATTTATTAACAACAAGGTCATAACCAGCCACAGCCAAAAGGAACAGAAGCTCATGAGACCTTGTTGAAGTCAAGGGCTTTTAACACACCACATTGAAAATACAAAATGACAACCGAGAATAGCACCATCTCGTCGCTTGTAAGTGTATGTACCTTATGTACCTTCTGGTCGCCTTATGAGCTTATGTCCAACACGTACAGCTTTTTTGTGTAAGTAATATTATTTTTGCTTCTTGGGTATATACCATGGTATTTACCAGGGGGGTCGTAGGCCACGCCCAAGCAAGCATTTTTGGTGCTGAGGGCAAGTGTCCTATGAATCTTACATTTTTTGCTACCTGCTCGAAATTTAAACGGCGCGGAGGGTTTTATTTTATACAATTACAATATTTAAAATAAATTGTTGTCAAGAAAGTGCCTCTGATGAGAAAAACGAAGAAAGCCGTTTTTATGTAAAATTGACCAAGCTGATCAGAAAAAATATCGGTTTGAAAAAATGTCAGTGGTGTACCATTTTTTATTTTCCTGTGTTCAGAGATGCCACTGGTAAAGTAATAAAAAAACTTTTGTAACAAAAATATGTACTTTTATATCCTACACACCAAAATTAAAAATAATATCCAAAGATCTTTCGGAGCATGGGCGAATTTAAAAAATTTTAAAAAATTAATTTAAAAATTAATTCTGTTAAAATTTCAGCTTTTATTATTGGAGGTCCCTTATCGCGATTTTCTATTTTCTATTTAAATAACATGGACTTAATTTCTAACTTTAAAATTATATACCTCGATAACTAAAATGATCACAACACATATGTTGTGGTCATTTATAAACGCTCTACAAAAATGGTATTTTATAATTTTATGGTAAATCTATTCGTTCAAAAGTTATTCAAGCTTAAATAGAATTTATAGTAAATTTCAAGTTTTTCTTACTTTTTATGTAAAACTATCGTATTTATTATGTCATAGGACTTCTTTGTGGATCTTTTTATTTCCATAAAGATATGTTATTTTATAATTTTTAAATCCCATAGTTCAACAGTTACTGGTTTTGCAAATTAATATTTTTGGTTAGAATGACAATTAATTTAAAAAAATAGCAATTTTATTGCAAAAAATCAATTTGTATAAACAGTAATTTAAAAAATTTTGAATGACATATTCTTGTAAAAAATAAAAAAATATGGTAGTGACTATTAGATTTATTATTTTTTTATGTTTGTTATGTGGGTCATTCCCTCGAAAAAATTAAATCCCTTTTATAACTGCATGTTAGTGCATCAATTTAAAAAGTTGTTTTATATCTATATATATATATATGGGGCAAAACACTCCAAGTGTTCCACCAAAAACTTAAGTTGTTTCCGATTTTGATGAAACTTTGCTAAATCATTGTCCTATCGGACTACTTTAATTCAGCAAAAGGGCAGCGGAAATGACTGACGGATTGCAGATATACAGGGGCTTGAAATTTTTCTTTTTCTTTTGTGACTTTTTTTAAATCGAAAAATAATATATCTTATATATTTTTTTCGTGTTTTAAGATAGAGGTGGTTTCAAAAGCGAAACAAAATTTTTTGGCTAAGAAAAATTGATATAAAAATATATTTACTTTTTTCTCAAAATGGGACCATTTTGATTATTTTTAAATAAGTACTAAAAAAGCTCATTTTTGTCCCTAAATTTTGATATATATTTAAATGGGACCAGTTCGAAAATACCTAAATATAAGCATAAATTTAAAAATTAGGTAAACTTGCCTTGCCTAGTCAAATTAAAAATTAATAAAATTTACACATTATTTACCTATCATATTTTAAATAGGATTAAATTACGCGAATAAGTATGTTTTGGTATGTAGTAATTAATAGTTTAATAAAATAAAATAAGTGTGAACAAAATTATTGTTAATGTATAAAATAATAAAATATAATATTGTATAATTAATAAATTATCCCCATTTATGGTAAATAGACAACAAATAATACACAAAAAATTAAATTTTAAAGTAAGAAAATGATAAACTTTTAAAGTTTAAGACACCGAACTGTGTTAAACATGCTACAATAGCAGTTTTTAAATTAAAAAAAATATGCACCTTTTAATAATTTTAAAGAGTATTTTAATTATAAATATTTATAATATCCTTTAGCAGATGTTCATTTAATTCTGGTAATGATAATTTTAGTAATAAAACGCTCGTGTAGCTCTAACTAGATTAAAATTATTATGTCCAGTGACGTCTCTGGGGGCCCCTTAACAAATATTATTGGCAAAAAATAATACCCCACCGAGTTTCTGGTAATTTTTGTATTTTTTTTCGGAATAAGCAACTAAAAATATCCTTTTTCTGTCTGTTGTATTGCTTCGTTTTCGAGAAATAAAAAGTTTATGTCGCAGAATTCTAAAAGGAAATAAGTTTTTTCCATACAAGGTTCATTTAGTGCATCATCTACAACCAGGAGATAACCAGCGCAGATTAAACTTTTTGGCACATTTTCATATTCTTTTGGAAGAAAATCCAAATTTATTAAACCAAATTATGTGGAGTGACGAATCCCGGTTTCACAATAATGGAGTAATTAATAAACATAATTGTCGCTACTGGTCCCAGGAAAATCCTGGTTGCAACAGATTAAATTTCAAACCCGATTTGGGGTAAATATTTGGTGCGATATTGTAAATGGTTACATAGTCGGGCCCTATTTGTACCATGAAAATTTAACTTCAGTTCGTTATTTACAACCCATCTCCCTTTGCTGTTTCATCAAGACGGTGCCCTAGCACACAATAGCAATATCGTAATAAATCATCTAAATGTGACGTTTCCAGGAAAAGTGATCAGCACAAATGGGGATCTTAGATGGCCTGCAAGGTCCCCTGATCTTACCCCGATGGACTTTTATTTATGGGGCTGCTTACAAAATGATGTCTACAAGGAACCAATAGAAGACATGGCTGACCTGCACCGAAAAAACAATTTGTTTGAGAGAAACGAAATTGATTTTAGGTAAACTAATCCTGTGGTTGTATATTGCGCAACTAATATAGACTTAAGGCAAGTAATTACTTAGTTTGGTAAAGTTGGTTTCCAACAAACTTATATTAATTTGACGTAAATGCATACATTTCTTTACAAATAGCAGATTATGTTCTTGCAACTAAATATTTATTTCTAATAAATTTTTCATTTCTTTGTATTAAACATGCACCTATTTGGGATAAACGCATGTGCTTTATTGCAACACAACAATAATTTCGTCACAAAAAAGAAACTTGTTATCACGACAGAATTAATTTGCCAAAACGAAAATTTCATTGTCAGGAATAAGCCCTTTATTTGCAATAAAATTATTTAAATGCAGGAGAGGCTGGTTATTGAAAATCTAAATAAATTCAATAAAACAATTTTATTTTATAATATTTATAACAAAATACAGAGTATAATAATATTATGTATACATATAAAAATATTTTTAACCAAAAAAATAAAACTAGAATACAAAACAAAATCTTAACTATAGTTATAGCTAACTCATTTTAAACAAAAAATATTCAAAAAGTTATCTCATACTTCAGTAATCATGTACCAACCTATACATAAAATATAAAAAGGTAACAAAAGTCAATAAATTAGTCCTGAATAAAAAGAATGATAGTTTTATAGTTCACTCAACACACACTGCATTTTTATCTGCGTAAAATTATGTACTGCATGTATTTCATACACTTGTTTACTGGTTCGTAACAAAGAAGTTCTTTGGTTCACAATGGCTGCCTTGCGTTTGCTAGCATCCCTACCAAAAAATATTTTAAACAAATAAATATTTGGTAAAAACTGATTTCTTTGTGTCAAAATGATATATTTTAATAATCTTATATTTAATATGATAAGTTGTTTACAACTTAATTTCATTTAAATTAATGGCAAAGTAACAACTAATTGACCAATATTGTCACAGAAAAATGTTCTTATTTCTAACCAATATGCGTTAGTTGTGGCAAATACATAATATAGAAACTAAGACCCATGTTTGTAATGACCAAACTATTTTATCGGTGTGTACAACAAAATGTATGCTTTTATAGCCGCTATTAATCGATATACACTATTGAGAGTTTGCAGAACCGAATTATTATATCGATTTGCTATGTGTTTGTATGAAAACGGCAATAATTTTGAACACCTCATTCGACCTCATTAGTTAGTTTTTGGTATTGTTCTAATTTTCATTAATAATTTTGTATAATTTCCCACCAGTTCTTTCATAAAATTTAAAACATCCTTTATGTTTTAATGTTTTACCTTTGTTTTTAAACAAAAAATATAGCGTATTATTATTATTATTATTTATGGTTTTGTTTTTCAAATGGTTTTATTTTTATTTCTCGAAAACGAAGCAAGATATAAAAACAATTCAACAGACAAAAAAAGGATATTTTTAGTTGCTTATTCCGAAATATATATTAAAATTACCTCAGTGGCGTATTATTTTTTTCCAATAATATTTGGGCCTCCTGAGACGTCACTGGACTTAATATTTTTAATCTAGTTAGCGCTACACGAGCGTTTTATCACTAAAATTATCATTACCAAAATTAAATTAACATTCTGCTAAAGGATATTAAAAATATTTCTAATTAAAATACTCATTAAAATTATTAAAAAAAAAACTTAACCCCAAATATCTCCGTTCATGTCGGATTTATCAAAAATTTGTATGGGACATAA